GTGAAAGATACACATACAGGCTTAGTTTGACTACCTGAGCCAAGTTTCGACAAATTCCCCAGCCTGCTGGAACTTGCTTGGAAGGTCAGATTCTTTCTGACATCAACAAACACGGGACACAAGAACCCATACTGTGTTTATTGTGCACTATGTTTTACATATAGATACATTCAAATCGCATGAAGATTCACCCACCAGTAACTGATGTACTTGCACTGCCATGTCAGCAGCCCTCCTTTGCATATTTCCTCTTTACATATTCTTGGTTCAGTTTTGGTCTCCAGCTTCCTCTTTTGCTTGCTTCTGCATGTGCTGAGTGGGTGAGTTTCAGGGCCAGAGTAAGACGGTTTTTAACAGCGTGCACTGTAACACATAGAAACCTCTTTTAGTATCAATATGAGGTGTAAGGAGCTCTGCAAAAAAGAAGCTGTAGCACATACTGCGGAAAAGCACGGCCCGTAAAGGATGAAAAATAATGAAATGCATTTTAAAGAGATGTATGAGTTGAGTTGAGTGACCATATAGAAGGAAAGATAACACTGAAACGTTGCACTTTTATCAGTAAAACTTGGGGATAATATGAAATGTTGTTGTAGTGGAGTCAGCATAGCCAAAGGGTGGAATAAGCCAACTGGAATTTAATCAATCACATTTCCTGGTGACTATGAAAATAGTGTTGTCATTCTAATATTTAAAAAAATGAGTGAGAGTGTTATTTTAAGAGTGTTATTATGAATGCAAACAAAATTGCTCATGCTTTTGGCATAACTTCAATCATTATTATTATTGTTTTTTTTAAACGTCAGATTTATGGCAGCTCATTTAACTAGAACTAACAGCACCCAGATTACGCTGAAAAAACAGGTTGGACAAGCAAAACGGACTGGAGTGGGGTAGCGCTGTGTTTGAAGCAAAGTCAGATAAAACTAGGTTACTGGGGCATAAAGAGAAATGACAGAAAAGGAAGTGGTTGAAGTGTTGCGTTGTGTGTTTCAGAAAACCCTTTGTCAGTGAATGAAGCTTAACCTGCCTGAAGCTCTAAGGTACTGAATTTCTGTGAAAATGATCTGCTTGAATGTACAGTCATGGTAAAAAAAAGAAAAAAAGTACACCCTCTGTCTGTTCTACGATCATACATGTATGGACATTAAAAAATGCTGTCCTTTTCAGGGCTTAGAATAAGGTAATTGTAACCGTTGATGAACGGAACACATGACATATTACACTGTGTCATTATTTGCTTAACAAATACTGAGCCAAAATGCAGAAGCAGTGTGTGTAAATATAGTACGCTCCATGATTTAATAGCTTGTAGGACCACCCTTAGCACCAGTTTAGAACTTTATCAAGATTTCTCATGTCATTGTGGACAAATTTTGTCTCACTCTTCTTTACAATGTTGCTTCAGATCATTGAGGTTTGTGGGCACTTGTTTATTCGCGTGCTTCTTACGACACCATGATTATTTTCTTTTTGTTTTTGTCATTCTGTTATAGATTTACTTCTGTGCTTGGGATTGTTGCCCTGTTACATCACCCAGTTTCAGCCAAGCTTTAGCTGTCGTACAAATAGCTTCATATTTATATATATGTAGGGGCGATCGTGGCTCAAGAGTT